TAGTTCCAGCTACTTGGAAGACCGAGGTGGAAGGATCGCTGGAGCCCAGCAGGTCGAGGCAGTGGTGGCCGGGAGCAGTCACTGCACTCCAGTCTGGGCAACAGAGTGAGACTTCAACTCAAAGATAAATAAATAAATAAAGTCTAACTGTGACAGAATTTTAAGCTGTAGCAACTGGAATTATAGGAAGGTCTGATACAAAACCTATTTTTACAAAGCAGAGTCCCTGTACAATACAAATTCCTTGGGGGTTTCATCTTGTCCCAGGCTTTGTAATTATTATTCTATTTTGGGCTCATGGATAGATATTACAATATCAACTTTAAGGATCCAAAGACTGACATGAGCAGCTTGAATTTATCCCAAAAGTAACCAATACAGGACCAGATCCCATAACTCCTAACTCTCCATTTAAGCGTCTTTCCATCTCAGCACAGTGCTTCTAAGGTATAACCAGAAAATATTATGACATAATTACTAGACTCTAAAGTTATGAATCCCTGGGGTTTACGGAGCTTAGGAGATGCTAAGTTTCCTGAATGAATTAAGATATTCATGGAGGGCCAGACGCAGTGGCTCACACCTATAATCCCAGTACTTTCGGAGGTTGAGGCAAGAGGAATGCCTGAGCCCATGGCTTTATGATCAGCCTGGGCAACTTGGCGAGACCTCGTCTCTACAAAAAATCCAAAAATTAGCCTAGCATGGTGGTACACACCTGTAGTCCCAGCAACTTAGAAGGTGGAAGTGGAAGGATTGCCTGAGCCCAGCAGGTCGAGGCTGCAGTGGCTGTTAGTGTGCCACTGCATTCCAGTCTAGGCAACAGAGTGAGACTCCAACTCTCTCACACACACACACACACACACACACACACACACACAAAGATATTTATGGAGGATCAGGGATTAATCTAATGGGAGAAGGAAACTATTGTAGACTTACATTGGCAACACCAACAAAAACGCTTGCCCTCTCAGTTCAGAGTAGTTCTAACAGATTAACAGATCAACTTAAAGCTGTAGAAAATGTGAGAAGAAAGAGTCTCCTGTCCTTCACTCTCCCTCACAACTCTTTCTATAATCTAGGGATTTCCATCTCACCACAATGCTTCCAAGGTATAACCAGAAAATATTATGGCATAATTACTAGACTCTAAAGTTATGAATCCCTGGGGTTTACAGCGCTTAGGAGATGTTAAGTTTCCTGGGCTACCCAGTACCTGCACCACCAGGTTTCCACGTTTCCGACAGAACCGCTCCAACATTCTGAGGAAGAGGTGGGTGGTTTCCACCAGGTCACGAAGAAAAGAGTGGGGCTGGCATCTCTCATCAAACTTTCGAAACAGGGTCAGGAATAGTTCTCGATACTCCATCACATAGAAAATGTTGTCTAGGAATGGGAAAGAGAAAGGAATGAAAGGACTAGTCTGGAAAGCTTAGAAAAGGAGAGAAGGTTGAAGCTGGGACTGGGAGAATGAGATTCTAGTCAAGAGATGGGGAAGGCTGAGATCAGGGCCCCAGCCAGGGGCTCATTCTTCTTTTTTTTTTTTTTTTTGAGAAAGCAGGATTTGAGAGGACAGAGAAACTCCCACAGTGGGAAGGGACCCAAAGGGGTTGGCCCGGGGCTCACTCTTGATGATGCGGCTGCTCTCCCTCACAGCCTCATCCGGAGAAATGTCCATTTCATTCACTGTGGCCAACAGTTCCTGATAGGCCTTCAGAGCCAGGTGCATCCTGTGAGTTGAGGGAAAAAGATGAGATGGAGGAAAACTGGCTCATGGAAGCAGCAACCTCCTCCCCACTACAAAATGTGCCAAAACCAGAATTTCCCAGCCAGTCCTTGCGCCCCAGCTTGACCACCTCAACCCTGAATTGGGGAAAGAGCAACACCCAGAATTCAGGTATTTTGATTCATAGCCTGGCTAAGATGTTCACTCCAACTGCAGTCACCACCTCGCTCACCGGCGTGCCCAAGAGGCAGCTTCCTTGCGGTCAGTTAGCATCATCTCATAGTAGTTAGTGAGGTTCTGCTCAATGAAGTGAAAGGTACGGACACTGAGGGTCTCAGAAACCAGGCCAGGCTGGAAGGAAGCAGCTCGGTTGAAGGCCATGAAGAAAGTCAAGGCCCACATATAATAGGTCTCATCATGCTGCTGAGCTTTCTCCCGCAGCAGGTGATCCTAACATCCAAGAGAAAAACAAAAAGAGACCACCATGATTTCAGGGCTTCCAACTTCCTGCTGTCTTGAGATGATGGGGTGGATCCTGGACACCACAGTAATGAGACTCTAGGATCCACAGTTTCCAACTCTCTCTTGTTCTCCTCTTCCCTTTCCTCTGGGGCAATTTCTCCAGATTCCCTCTTTGTTATGTCAATAACCCACTCCCTCCTGGCATCTTCACTATCTCTCAGGGGAACCCTAATTCTTCCCACCTTCTAGTCCACACTCCAGGGTTACCTCCTCTCCGTTTCTTACCCACCACTGGCCCTATCATATCTCTGATCACCTTTCTATTCCACTTCTGATTATCTCTATCCTTCGCAATCTCTCACCTTTACTGATCCCATGAGTCGGTTGTAACAGTTCTCTAGGAACTCAGAGCAGAAGTCTCTGAGAAAGAGTCTCACATTGAGGGCAGAGCGGCGCTGAATGGACAACTCCCGGGCAGCCTGGCGACGTTTAGGCACCCTGCGGGGCTGCTTTCCCAGATCTGAACTGTAGTTTCGAAGCTGGGGGGTATGAGTCGGGGGATTAAAATTACTCTTAACCACCACCGTCCCCCTGCAGTTATCGACAATTTTCTCAGAAGAAACTCTTAAGATGGCTGCCCTCCCTAGGCCCCCCAACTCCGCAATGTTTCCACCCCAGAGGTGAGAATACTCACATTATGAAGGCCTTTGTGAAAGATGACATCCCTTTCCCCAATGGATTTCAACCCCTGGACAATGTAGGAGCCCCCAAATCGAGAATGTCTGCAGAGGAAAAAAAAAAGCCCAATTTGATTCCTCAATTCTCTGGAAGTTTATCTCCACTCTCTTTCATCAGCATATCAGAGCAAGTTAAAACTGTAAAAGTTATCCAATCACCCAATCTTAGAATTTACCCTCCAAACCCTCAATACTCCACAGTGTGGGAACAAATGCATGGGTAGAGCAGCTCTCTGCCACATACCTGTTGCTGCGCTGGAGGGCTCGAGTTTTCTTTTCTGCCATCTCTCGCTGGCGCAACACCTCCAGTTCTGTGACATCTGTGCTCTGCTCCTGAGCTAAGCGCCCCTGCCCTAGTCCTGCAAGCTGCTCAGGATTCTAGATTTAGGACAAGAAAGGAAGAGTCAGAGGACAGTCATTCCTGAGTTCAATTCTACTGGGGATGGAAAGAGTGAATGAAATAGGACTGTCAGCCGGGCTCGGTGGCTCAGCCTGTAATCCCGCGCCTTTGGGAGGATGAGGTGAGTGGATTGCCTGAGCCTGCGGGTTCGAGACCCGCCTGGGCAGCGAGACCTCATCTCTACAATAAATCAAAAAATCAGCCGGGCGTGGTAGCGCATGCCTGTAATTCCGGCTACTTGGAAGGCTGAGGCGGAAGGATTGCTGGACCCCAGGAGGCGAGGCTGCAGTGGCCGGGAGTGGCCACTGTACTCCAGTCTGGGCGACCAAGTGAGACTTCAACTCAAAAAAAAAAAAAAAAAAAGAAAAAAAGAAATAAGACTGTCGATGAGACCTTATGCGTAGTTCTCCCTTGTCCAAGAGGGATACATTCTAAGACCCCCAGTGGATGCCTGAAACCGTGGATAGTGCCAAACTCTATGTATACATACTATGCTTTTTCAATCTGATAACCGAGATGGCTACTTAGTGACTAACGGGCAGGCAGAGTATACAGAGTAGGTATGCTGAACAAAGGGATGATACCCATCTAGTTCAGGACAGAATGGGATGGCAGGAGATTTCATCACGCTACTCAGAACCATGCACAATTTAAAAACGTATGAAATGTTTATTTCTGGAATTTTCCATTTAATATTTTCAGAGCACAGTTGAGTGCAGGTAACTGAAACTGTGGAAAGTGAAACCACAGGTAAGGGGGGACTACTGTGCTCAAGACATGGCTACCCCAGCCTCACTCATCTTCCCCAGGTAATTCAGCCATTATTACAAGAGCAATTCGAGCCGCACAGCAGAAAAGGGATGGAGGGGATCAAGGCAATAGGCCAGGGTCTCACCTGGTCACGAAACATAAGGGAGATGATCTCTAGCACGTGTAGGCTCCACTGCTGCTCAGCAGGTGAGCTGGTCAAGAAGAGGAGCAGGTCGTCCAAGCCACTGAGGTGAATCGCCCAGAGAAGCAGGTCATGGACACTGGCGTCATCATCAATCTTCTGAGAAGTGAGTGGTGAAGGGCAGAAAGGGAGCTCATTCAGTTGCACTGCCCTGCCTTGAGGCGTTCCAATTCATTCTTTGACCAAGGTTTCTCCCCAGACTTGTCCAAGGACAGAAAAGTCCCCAAAAGGCAGCTCAACCTAGCCAAACACAAGAACTCAGACTACCCAAGACCCTTACCTTCTCCTGATCAAGGTCAGATGGTACATGGAGAATATTTCTGACCAGCAATAGGATCCGCTCAATCAGCAAGTTGTCTTCCTCCTGTCGTTCCTCCCAGCCCTAGTCAGAAAAAGGAGACTTAGAAGAAGAGTTTCCCTGTGGAAGGCAGGCAGCATCTACCCTGGCTGGAGGACCAAGGCACAGAAGAGAATCACAATTAAAGAGTTCAAGCAAGGCCAGGCGTGGTGGCTCAAGCCTGTAATCCCAACACTTTGGGAGGCTGAGGTGAGGGGGCTGCCTGAGCCCATGGGTTTGAGATTACCCTGAGCAACTTGGCAAGACATCATCTCTATAATAAAAATTAAAAAATTAAGCTGGGCTTGGTGGTTCAGCCTGTAATCCCAGCACTTTGGGAGGCTGAGGCGAGTGGATTGCCTGAGCCCATAGGTTCGAGACCCGCCTGAGCAACTTGGTGAGATCTCATCTCTACAATAAAACAAAAAAAATTAGCCAGGCGTGGTAGCACACACCTGTAGTTCCAGAGACTTGGAAGGTTGAAGCGGAAGGATCGCTGGAGCCCAGCAGATTGAGGCTGCGGTAGCCAGGAGCGTGCCAGTGCACTCGTCTGGTCTGGGTGACAGAGTGAGACTCCAACTCAAAAAAAAAAATTAGCCAGGTGTGGTAGCATGTGCCATAGTTCCAGCTACTTGGAAGGCTGAGGTGGAGGATCACAGGAGACCAGCAGGTCGATGCTGGGGTGGCTGTGATTTGTCACTGCACTTCAGCCTGGGCAATAGAGTGATACTCCAACTCAAAAAAAAAAAAAAAGAATTCAAGAAGTTTTGAGGCAGCTAAACACTATGGATTATACCACAATATCCCCAAGGACTGGGACCATATCTCAGCATCTCTTCCTCTGCCCAGATGAAGTACAAAGTGCTAACTGTCCCATGGAATCCTGTAAGGTGAAGACTCAGCCAGTCCCTTATATGACAAGTTGAAGAAAGGGAAATACATAGAGACAGGAAGTCGGCAGGGGCCAGGCACAGTGGCTCATGCCTATAATCCCAGCACTTTGGGAGATGGAGGCAAGAGGATTATCTGAGCTCAGGGGTTCGAGAGAACAGCCTGAGCAATATGGCGAGACCCTGTCTCTACAATAAATAAAAAAATTAGCCGAGCTTGGAAGGCTGAGGTAGAAGGATCACCTGGGCCCAGCAGGTCGAGGCTACGGTAGCCCTGAGGGTGCCACTGCACCCCAGCCTGAGAGACAGAGTGAGATGCCAACTCAAAAGAAAAAGATGAAGACTCACTTACCAGCTGCAGTAGCTCATATAAGGTTTCACTGAGGACTCCAAAAGCCTTCTCGCTGGCAAAGGCCTGTGAAACAGAGACCGGATACTGAGTAGCATTCAACCACTTCTTCCCCATTGCTCCAAACTGTGCCCCAGGGACTCTGAGGAAAGTCTCACCTCCTTGTAGGCCTGAAGATATGTTAGCACCTGCATAAAATGGTGCCGGAAGCTGGGCTCCTTAGGTACACTGCCGAAACAGAGCAAGGCTGGTTGTGTCAAGTTCACCATCAGTCTAGGGAGACCATGAATGAAGGAGAAGTTAAGTTTTCTCACCAGGAACATTCACTAAAACCTATTGGTGCAAACACCAAAGGCTGGCACATGATATAAGTTAAAAAGCCAAAGAGTCAACCTGATAACCGCATCAAACAGAGGCTTGTCCAGGCGGTGCTGGGTAAGGATGGGAAGAAGGTCACTCTGCAGGATCTGGGCTGCTCCCAGCTGTTGTCGCACATCTCGTGTCTCATCCTCATGCCTCAAGTAGCGGATCAAATCCTTCACACTCTCTTCAGAGACGGAACAAAGCATGTATGTGGAACCCTGGAAGAAGCTCCACCCAAGCCCATGTGTTTCTCACACCCATGGCTTGAGAAATTCAAAACTTCCTCAAGTCCAGCAACTTTTTTACCTGTTTCCTCAGAAAGGTACTCACCTAAGCAATCTGGCTCCTTGTGGTAAGTGTCTCCCTCCAAGTACCCAAGGGCACTGCATGTGGCTAGAAGTTCACAATTCATCATGGAAAAGTCCATACACCAGTAGACCAGCCAGTAGAGAGGGAAGGCAGAGAAAGAGGAGACAGAAAGGACGAGGCCTGCAGAGACAGGGGAAAGTGACACATGTAGCATTCTCTCCATGAAAAGAAGAGAGGAAGCCAGGAATGGTAGCTCACGTATATAATCCCAACACTTTCGGAGGCCGAGGTGAGAGGACTGCCTGAGACCGCGGGTTTGAGACTAGCCTGGGCAATTTGGCGAGACCTCGTCTCTAAAATAAATAAAAAAATTAGCCAGGCATGGTGGCATGTGCCTATAGTTCCAGTTACTTGGAAGGCTGAGGCAGAAGGATCATCTGAGCCCAGCAGGCCGAGGCTGTGGTGGCCATGTGCGTGCCACTGCACTCCAACCTGAGCGAAGGAGTGAGACTCCAACTCAAAAAAAAAAAAAAAAAGAGAAGAACAGGACAGGGCCCTAATGCTCAAGAGCATTCTGCACAAGATCCTCAAACGTTTCACTTTTGTCAGAACCAGAAGCTCTGTTGCCAGTCCCAGGGGAAGTTTCAAGTTATGGCTTCTACCTGACCAAAACCAGAGAGGCTCCAGCCTATGAATTAAGCACTGCTCCATACTATGAACAGGGTCTGAAATTGTAAAAATATTGTTTCAGAGTTAATATAATCTAGTAGGAAGAAAGCTTGATAAGAGAAGGGTATCAACTCTGTGACTTTCACCCTTACAGAGCCTTGGGAGGAAGGGTGGAAACTTCCCTCCCCAGCCGGGCTCGGTGGCTCAGCCTGTAATCCCGCGCCTTTGGGAGGCTGAAGTGAGTGGATTGCCTGAGCCCGCGGGTTCGAGACTCGCCTGGGCAGCAAGACCTCATCTCTACAGTAAAATCAAAAAATTAGCCAGGCGTGGTAGCACGCGCCTGTAATTCCGGCTACTCGCAAGGCTGAGGCAGAAGGATCGCCGGAGCCCAGTAGGTCGAGGCTGCAGTGGCCAGAAGCGGCCACTGCACTCCAGTCTGGGCGACAGAGTGAGACTCCAACTCAAAAAAAAAAAAAAAATTGTCAGGCCCAGTGCCCCCTCCACCTTCCATAGCTCTTTCACCCGGGCTGAGCTCTGATGTACCACAGGAATTAGGAAAACCCAGCTCTGACTGCGCAGTGACTCTACTTAGGGTCTGATACATTCTAGTAACCTTTGGCTTCTGAGGCACTGGGAGTGTGTAGAGCAAGGCCCTTCACTTTCCTCCCCAAAGTTACTTTTATTTTATTTTTGTTGAGTCAGAATCTCACTCTGTGGCCCAGGCTGGAGTGCAGTGGCATGCTCATGGTCACCACAGCCTCGACCTACTAGGCTCAGGTGATCCCTCCACTTCAGTCTTCCAAGTAGCTGGATCTATAGGTGCGCACCACCATACCTGGCTAATTTTTTTGATTTATTGTATAGATGAGATCTCACCAAGTTGCCTGGGCTGGTCTCGAACGCATGGGCTCAGGAAATCCTGCTCTCATCTCAGCCTCCCAAAGTGCTGGGATTATAGGCGTGAGCCACTGTGCCTGGCCTCCCAAAATTACTTTTAAACTGTGGTCATCTCAGTATAATTCAGCATCTAACAGAATTAATAGAATGGGTGGGGGAAGGACGTGACTAGGAACCGGGAAACTCCCTGTTGCTCTCCCCAGGAGAATCCTCTCCCCTTTCTGAAGCATGTCCCTTTAAATTAAGATATTCCTAAACCCTCTCAAATAATCAAGTAGTCACAGATCTACAATTCTGGACATTTCGGAACCTGACACTAGTAACACAGACATACACAAACATATTACAATTTTTTACCCCGTTTCTCTGTAAAATCAGGAATATCCATCAATCTGTCCCCTTGGCACTTTGACCAAACTGCTCTCTGCCCTTGGCAGTATCCTCTAAGAAGACCCTTCCTGGCTCCCACATCTACCTCTAGCCACTGACTCCACCCCTGTTCCTCCACAGAAAATGGGTAGTAAGTCTCCAAAGGACTGAAGTTTAATGCCTGATGTTATCTCCCTGCATTTATGTAACTGGTTTGCTTCTTCAGTTGCCTGCTACCCCTCCACTCCCACCCAGTGCTAACCTACTTTCTGACTGTTCAGCCCAGCCACACAGTGAGCCAGTAAAACAAGATTTCCTCTCTTGTGCTGCCCTTTCTTGGGGACCTGCAGACCCCGAAACCTGGGCTTCAGGGAGGTAGGCTCAGTGTATGAGATCCCTGGCTTGCCTCAAAGATCCATCCAGCTTTTCCAGAAAGGTGTGTGTGTGTGTGTGCATGCACATATATGCATGCCCATACTCACTTGTATACGCACACATTCATAACCATACACACATGCGTGCACTTCCACTGAAAAGTTTCCCTATCTGCACTGTCCAAGTGGCAGACAAAAACAGACGAAGAGGCAAAAAGATGAGGTGTCAGCACATCCTCTTCAAAATGGGAGACAGGGCCGGGTTTGGTGGCTCAGCCTGTAATCCCAGTACTTTGGGAGGCCGAGGCGAGTAGATTGCCTGAGCCCGTGGGTTTGAGACCAGCCTGGGCAACTTGGCGAAATGTCTCTACAATAAATTACAAAAACAAACAAACAAAAAAAACTAGCTGGGCGTGGTGGCACACACCTGTAGTTCCAGCTATTTGGAAGGCTGAGGCAGAAGGATTTGGGAGCCCAGTGGGTCAATGCTGGGGTGGCCATGAGCGTGCCACTGCACTCTAGCCAGGGCGACAGAGTGAGACTCCAACTCAAAAACAAACAAAAAACAAAATGGGAGACAGCACCACACTTTGGGACTAAAAGGTGTGAAATGATAGTTCTCTAAGAGCAGAGACAAAGCCTTACCTGGGAAGGCTCCCGGCCAGATAACCTCATACAGTCCTCCCAGCTACCCTCCTCCTTACTTGGTTCCTCTCTAGTAGAGATTCCTCACTGATGAGGATTCCGTGTTTGTAAAAATGGCCCCAGCAGAGCACTTGAACCTCTGCTTTCAACACATCACTTTACTGAAAGGCAAAAATAACAGAGATGGTAACAGTCATCATTCCCGGCTTATTACCAAAACGAAACGGGGAGCAGGAAGGAGACATGAAAGAAGTGGTCCTGGCAGATGCCAGAAGGGGAGAGGTTACATAAGAGACCCAGGACTTGTGCTCCAGTTCTTCCTCTGCAGTTTTAACAAAACCAGGCTGCAGAGCAATAGGCAAAGCAGAGCAAGAAGTAGGTCAGACAACCAATTGTAAGCTCTCAGGCCAGACATCATGATGCCTTGGGCCTACTGTCATTGGAGCCAGAATAAACGAGCTCTCAACAGGAGTTCCATCTCTGCCTAGTGGAAACACACTATTAAAAAGCCAGTCACGGGTGGGTCTGTAGCTCAATGCCTATACTCTTAACACTTCAGGAGCCCAAGGCAGGAGGACTGCTTGAGACCAGGAGTTTGGGACCACCCTGGACAACCTGCTAAGACCTCACCTCAACAAAGAAAACTTTTAAAAATTAACCAGGCATCATAGTGCACACCTGAAATACCAGCAACTCAGGAGGCCGAAGCAGGAGGATTGCTTGAGCACAAGAGGTTGAAGGTACAGTTAGCTATGACTGTACCACAGCACTCTAGTGTGGGCATCAGAATGAGACCCTGTCTCAAAACAACAAAAGTCAGCCATGGACAGGAAACTTAGAGCTTTCACACTGTTTTCATTCAGTTAAGAAAAGCTACTTCCCCAGTCTGTCTGGCCTCATCTTCCTCTGCTCAATTGTCTACAATCTGATAATTTTTATTATAATTGTATCACACATAACCACCCAACCTACCACTTCTCTCTACCCAGGAACACAAACATACAAGTTCCAAGACACAGGGCACCCCCATGGTCTCCAAATCTTTTCTAAGTTTATTTATTCTCTCCATCTGAAAGGTCTACCTTCCTTTATTTTTAAAAGTTCTTATTTTTCATTTTCTTTTCTTTTTTTTTTTTTTTTGAGTTGGAGTTTCACTCCGTTGCAAGTGGCCACCGCAGCCTCTACCCACTGGGCTCTGGCAATCCTTCGAGCCTTCCGAGTAGCCAGAATTACAGGCGCACGCTACCACGCCCGGCTGATTTTTGATTTATTGTAGAGATGAGGTCTCGCTGCCCAGGCGGGTCTCAAACCCGCAGGCTCAGGCAATTCACTCACCTCAGTCTCCCAAAGGTGCAGGATTACAGACTGAGCCACCGAGCCTGGCTTATTTTTCATTTTCGAGTTGAAGTCTCACTGTCACCCAGGCTGGAGTGCAGTGGAACGCTCATGGTCACCACAGCCTCGACCTGCTGGGCTCAGGCGATCCTTCCACCTCAGCCTTCCAAGTAGCTAGAACCATAGGCATGTGCCACCACATCCAGTTAATTTTTTGATTTATTGTAGAGATGCAGTCTTACCAAATTGCCCAGGCTGGTCTCAACTATTGGGCTCAGGCAATCTCTCACCTCTGCTTCCAAATTGCTGGGATCATAGGCATAAGCCACCACACACAGTTCTGATTCCATCTTTGAACCAGTAAACCCATTTTAGAAAATATGGCTCAGCATAGGGTGGCTAATGCCTATAATCCTAGCACTTTGGGAAGCTGAGGCTGGAAGACTGCTTGAGACAAGGAGTCTGAGTTCAGCCTGGGCAATACAGAGAGACTTTATCACTACATAAAATTGCCAGGCTCATCCCTGTAATCCCAGCACTATAGGATAAATCAAAAAATTAGCTAGGCGTGGTAGGTGTGTCTGTAGTTCCAGCTGCTTGGAAGGCTGAGGAGGAAGGATCATCTGAGCCCTGCAGGTGAAAGCTGCCATGACCATGAGTGTGCCACTGCACTCCAGCCTGGGCAACACAGTGAGACTCCAACCCCCCCACAAAATAAAGAAATAAACAAAAAGAAATAAAAAAAAATTAGCTGGGTCTGGTGGTGCATGCCTATAGTCCCAGCTACCTGAGAGGCAGAGGTGGAAGGATCACCTGACCCCTGAAGGTTGCAGCTGTGGTAAGCCGTGATTGTGCCACTGCACTCCAACTGGGAGACAGAGTGAGCCTT